TGATGGTTCAGTAGTCTAATAGTTGGCCATGGAGCTCAGGCTGAATGGAGCATCAAGTGGCATTAGAAGGGCTCCTATGTGCTGGCAGAAAGGAATGATAAGTGATTGAAGCTAATACACGGTAGAAGGATTTTTAGTTCTGCAAGAGAGTGGAAGAGAAATGATGGGAAAAGCACAGTAGACATGGAGGGATCACTCTCAGATCTTGGTTGGAGAATCTCCTATAGAGACACCCAGGAAACATACTTATGCAAGTGGTATGAACAAGGGAATGTCAGTAAAGTCAAATAATGCACGTGAATGTGAGGTCAATGAATGGTCACCATCACTAAGAGGCTTTTACTAAAGGCTGAAATAATCAGATTTGAATTTTAGGTGCTGCACAAAGAAGGTAATTCCTAGTGCTCTGACCACTAGGAATTTATCATCTGAAATTCCTGGGAGGAAATGAAAGCCAGTTTCCCCATTCTTGGAGAAAAGATCTCACTTGCATTTTCCAATTGAGAAGGAACCAGGAGAATGTTTTTGGTGACAAACATTAGCTCTAAAACACTAAAATATGTTGAAATCTTCTTTGTCTGACAAGGGTCAGAATACATTTTTAAAACAGACATTGCATGGCTTCTTCTTTCACTTTCCGCCACAGTGTCTGCTAGGCAAGGAAAATGACTCATTAATAAATTTAGCACCCGAACTCTGACTCATTCAGAAACATCTTACCACCACCTCACCTTGTCTTACTATACTTTAGCTAATGATATTCTCCAGCTTAGACGCTCGGGAGTATGCCTCTCACATGGTGATAGCTTGTCTTAGAAGTAAGCTAGCACTATTAATTTCCATTCAGTGATATAGAAGTTGAGCTAGGTGACTTTCCGTAGGCTAGACATTGAATAAGGGGTGAAACTGTAGCTCTTCTTAGCAGCAAAATCAGCAAAGTATCCACAGCAAAACTCTTAGTTCTAGCAGAGACACTACAGGTGATGATTTGAGGTCTGAACCAAATGACCGAATACAAATTATTGCTACCAGATTTGAAGGAGTGACAGCAAGTCTGCTAATGAGCAACTTGAGGGCAGGGATAATTTCTTATCCAACTATATATTCCCTGTGCCTGGTATGGAATATGGTAATAAGCATTCAAAAGTGATGTCAGTTCAATGAATAAATGAAGTATCATTTTTTTGTGATCACTGTCTTTGCAGAGAGGAATATAATAAACTGCGTGCTTTACAGTGAAGAGAGACTTTGTAGTTCTCAGCAGTGAAGTGTACTCAAATGCAAGCATCAAAGATAGAGATCTGTTGCATCATAGAGTTTTCAGTCTTCTGAGTTTTACTCTTTTGATTTGCATTTGATGCTAATACCCTGTAGTTCTGGGGGGCAGAGACAGGGAAGGAACAGAATAAACCTCCATCTTTCTGGGTTTGGGTCCCCAATCTTACATTTTTATGTTTGTCATTTGAACCCTAGATGCTTCAGTGGCATCCACTGGAGTGCTGATAAGGTCAAGAATGAAGACGAATCTCAGAAATGTCAAATCCACTCAATAAATGTTTACAACAAATCTATAGGAATGTTATTTGGGCGTTAAAAAATGTAAACACAGGCTTTGTTTCAAGGTGTTTGCAATCTATGGGCAGAATAGAGATATAAAAAGTGTAAAGAGTTCGCAATAAAAGGTGTATGTGGTGGGGCCTCCCCTGGTGGTGCAGCGGTTGAGCGCTGGGCTACGAGGTTGCCCGCAGCCTCTGCAGTGCCGATTTGTTCCCCGGCCACTGGCAAGGGTCCCACAAAAAAAAAAAAAAGTATATGTGCTGATTCAAGATAATCAATACTTGCCGCAGGGCCACCTATGAGGAGACAGCACTCACATACGCTCTTGATTCCTCCCAGAAGTCCAACTTGATTCAAGTAGTCTCTCCTTCCTCTCAGCTGACAGAGGGGAGGACAACCCTCTCCCCTGATCCAGACCCTGATTCCTATAAGACAAGAACCATCTGATATTCCCTGTGCTGCTGCCATTGTTCTAGCAGAGGCCCGGGGCCAGTACTGCCCCAGATTATGGAGGGAGAGGTGGGGAGCCCCTGTTTGGGAAATGTCAGTGAGAAGAACAGGGCACTCTCTGCTTTGGGCAATCATTTTATGACCATGAAGAAACCAGTTACATGATGACAGAGTAAAGAAATCCAGCCCCTGAATCAACCTTGGAGCCTGTCCTAACTCAGGGCTTCCTGCTACATGAGATAATAAATTTCTTTATTGCTTAAGCTGACTTAGTGGGGGATTTGTTTCCAAAAGACTCTCGAGTAGACAATGACCAACTGCCGGCCGCGTGGGCAGGTAGTAATTACTGTGAGAGTTGAGAATGGGGAGAGTTCACATCAGGCTATCGTAGTTGGGACAGCATTCACAGGAATAGAGGCTGTAAGAATGAATAGAATTTGTACAGGAGAGGCAGGAGAAAGACATCCCAGTTAAAAAACCAGAAGATGAAAGGAATTTGAGGAGCAATAGAGAGAGACAGTGCAAAGTGAGGAAGGAAGGTCAGATAGGATTTTAGAAAACCTTGAAGAGCAAGTTAAAAGAATTGGATGTTGCTAGTTAGGCACTAAGGCTTCAAAAAACAGTTTTGAGCAAGCAAATTATCTATCCCTACCTGAGGACTGAAACCCACCACAATATTATACTCCTGCTGGGCCATAAAAACAAGTTTCAAACATTAATGGATATTTTAAGTGAAGGACCCACACCACTGCCCCTTCCCTGCCCTGCCTGTACTTTTGCCCCATCCCTCAGGATCCACACTCATGTTCTGGGACCCTGGAACTTTGGTCAGATGTCTTTGGCTTCCACAGATTAGTCTCTCATCTGGCTGGTGCCTTCTTCGCATGTGAACCTTCACTCTAGTGATCAGGAGAGAAGAGCAGGAAAGAGTCCAGTAGCAGGGACAGGGCAGAAGGAAGGCAGACATCGTCGTGCCCACAGAGAGAAGCAAGGTTCTTTTCAGGGATGTCACACATGCAGTGAAAGTGTATGCTCTTAGCCGTTGACAAGAAAAATACAAACAACCTAAGAGAAAAACAAGTAAATGGTAACCAAACCAACATGGAAGATGCTCACTTCCCTAAAATGATGGGAATGCAAATGAAAGATACAATGACAATCTCTTCCCTGATCTCTATTACTCTGGCAAAAGAGGAAATCTACTACCTATTGTTGGTGGGATGTAGGGTAAGGTGTACTCCTATACTTGACTGCACGAAATGTGAAGATATACAGACTTATTTGGTGAGAGCAAAATGGCAATATCTCTTAAAGTTAAAAATACATAAAGCCTGCAACCCACCAGTTCACTCCCATTTTAATCTCACAGAAAGAAGAACAGTAATACAAGATATATATGTGCGTACATATGGCAGTTATTTGTATACGGGGGAAATGGAAAAATACTTACAAAAGAGGGTCCGAATAAATTACAGAACAGTATGCACCAGACACAATTAGTTGTATGCCAATTGACATGGAGAGTAACAACGGCTCAGATTTACCTAGTATGTACAAAATGCCAAACACCATTCCAGGTACATCACATGCATTAATTCACTGATTCTCCTAATAATCTTATGAACTAGGTATTACTACAGAGAAGTTAAGTAATTGTCCAAAGATGCAGAGTTAGTGTCATAGCTGGACTTGAAAACTTGAGGGTACACAGATGCTGAAAAGAGCAGAGTGGGGAGAAGATAAGAAATCCAATTTTTTAAAAAAGCATCACACTACTTTTTACAAAATCAGGTATGATATAATCACATGTATGCACTATAAAACTACCACTATAAAACTATAAAACTACCACTGTGTATAAAGAAACATGAGAAGTTATGAGATCATAGATTTTAGGACTAGAAGGAAATATAAAAAAACATATAACACAACCACCCAACTGAGGCTTGAAGTGTCCCCATAATATCAAAGCTCATAGTTGATAAACATATCAGGAGGGAAACTATGTGTGTGTGTGTGTGTAACTATATATATAAGTATATATATATATAAAACTATATATAGAGAGAGGAAACTATATATGTATATATATACATGCACACACACACACACACACATATATGTGTATACACACACACCACTAATATATGTATTAGGTAGCTGCTATTTTATTTAGATCCCTGATTTCTATCTATCAGTCCTCGATCTAGCACTCTGGTCTGTGTAAATCAAGGGATTGGGATCATGTTAACTATTCACCCTGGTTTCCTGTCAGCTGCCACCAGATCTAACTTCTGATTGACCAATCTCCATCCTTTGGGGAAGGTGAGCAACTCTTTATTTTTCCATCTGATTAATCTATTTTCCAGCAGTCCTTTGGCCACTTTGCAAAGGTGGCTTCTACATTTACCTATTGTCAATGTTATTTTATTCTTTTATAATTCTACAAAACCCACTTCATTTGGTGATCTACAGAAAAAGGGGGACTGGGTTCGGTGAGAGCAGTTAAGAGAATCAGACCATTTTCTCTCTAAATTCTCATCAATTTCACTTTCACTGAGATATTCTTCCTTGCAAAAGTAGAAGCTCCCCTGTCTCTCCCTCCACTTACTGATTGATGATTCTGTCAGCAAAGTAAGACGAGAATTTGTCAGATGCTCTACTTTTAGCCAAATGAGACTCCCCACAGATGCCCTCCTGGTTGGAGTAGGCTCCTAAACTACAGTGAGATCTGGGTCAAAAAGAATCTTCCTTGCCAGCTGGCCCCCAGTGTGTTCTGCTTAAAACCACCCATCTGCCTGTCTGGTGTCTTATTCTCACATTTATACATTCTATGCAGGTGTAGAGCTTCCTGGTGTGCAGCCAAGTTGTGCCCACCTTTGGGGTTAGTTCTCTCTTTAATCTACTGAACCTAGAACTTTTCACTATCCATCATCCCCCCCATGACCCTCACATCCCTCCTGAGTCTAAATTCCAGCATTAGAATAACTCACAAACATTTCAATTCTCTTGCTTGTTTTTCTCTCCATCACTCTCACATGGGCAAGTCACTGGTCCTGATGACACTCTCTAATGTGGCTGCTTCCTTAAGTCCTAAAGTTGCTGGGGGGAAAAAAAAAATCAAAGAACCAATCTGAAGTCTTACTTTAAGTCTATGACCACAAACCTCCAGTAGGGACACAAACTCCCTGGCATGATCACTTTGCTTCTCCAGTCACTGGCTTGTCCCTCTCCTACCTGATTTTTCATATATTGCCTTACTCCTCAAATACCTAACAGCCCCGACACACCACTGCCTTTTCTGTTCCTTTATATTTGTTGCTACCTCTGCCTGGAATGCTTCCCCCAACCCCACCCTCTTAACTTCATGATTTACTTCTTCATATTATTCTTGTCTTCATTCAGGCCTCCTCTAAACACCCCAGCTAGGCGGTCACCCTCCATTACCAACTCTTTTTCCTTTATAACACTAATTTCTACCTCGGTTGTTAGAGAGTTTCTACTTTCAGCCACATTTTATATATATATATATATAAAATGTGAAGGTTTCTGTCAGCTAGCAAGTAGACCCATTCACATCACACCTTGGATTTATCTACTGGCCAAACGTAAGCCAAGATTCCATTTATGTCCTGTATCCCATTACTCAGTGTCATCACTCTTTAAAGTGGGTTATGAGATCTGAATTCCCAGGTGTCAAGGTCAAACTGGATTCCGTGTTTACCAGTGGTCAAAACGCTAGCAGGGTCAATCCTCACACTCTGGTTTATGGCGACCAGAGGGAATGGCTGTAGGATGCTTTGGGGAAGGACTCATTGAGTCATTCCATCTACCTGCTGTGGGGCTGCAGTGCCGCCTCTTGAGACTAGAGTCTCCTTTTAATGGGTATCGGGTTTCTCTCTCTCCTTTTTATATTTCATTTCCCCCCTTCCCATTTTCAGTGAGCCCCATCTTTGAAAGGCTCTTTTCTTCCTCATTCAAGGATCTAGCCTCAGTAAAGTAGGCACTCCACTTAAATTTGTTGACTCAATTAATGAGTCGGTAAGAAACTCCACCTGATTCTTTAGTCCCATTCCACCTAATTTTATTACATATATAAATTAATCCCAGCGATGTATTTATGGCCCAGCCATTGTCTCCCAACCAGCCACTCTCCACTCATGGCCTTCAAGTGCGTACACTAGTCAGTTCTCAATAACCCTTGGCAACCTGGAGAAGGCACTGCTGACTTCTTGAATCCCAGTCACTATAAAGTGCTTCAGGGTGAAATACACAATCTGTTCCTGCCTCTCTGCCTCCAGGCCGCTTGCTTTGTTCCCCACCTAAGGCATACCCTTGCTTTGAGGCTTCAGTGATAGAAGCCAGACCAGCCATTATGATCGCCATCTCCCCTTGCAAATACCCCAAGGAATTCTTCTTTTCATTTTTCAACCTGCCACCCGCCATGGCAACTGTTTTCCCAGGTTTATCTCACTGTTTTTTTTTCTTCCTCCCCCATGGTATTGAGTTAAAAGCTTTCTGGTTCTGTTAGTTTAGCCTCTGGCAGAAACATTCTCTTAGTGCATGTGAAATGTGAACCACCTGTGGCCAAGAACCCATATTCCAGCATCTTAGGCTGGTGGGCCCCCAACCCAAATCCAGCTCATCAACCCTATCTGGACAGACACTCATCAATCTCGTAACTCTTTCTCTTTCATCTCAAATCCAAAGTCTCAGTAGAATTAAGTGATAAAAACAGCACCTGTGCCCCAAGTAATTTTTTTGTTGTTGTTCAAGAGCTTATATTCTCTAAAGACTCTTTCCTGAGAGCCTCTGATTCTCTGTGTTTTCTCTTTGCAATAGCCAGATTTCCTGCGGACACGTCTGGGCTTTGCACATTTCTTTATAAGCAGATCTCATGTAGACCAACCATTTCTTTGTCCCCATACTTTGCAGACCCTAGAGATCTTTACACCAAACACACCAGAACTACACATGCTTAAAAATATAGTTCCTTATGGAGTTGAAAGCCTAGAGTCAGGAGATACGCCGACCCTACATGCAGTAGAAAGAGTAAGTGAAAACAAAAACAGAGACTTTAGAGAAAATGACCCCAGTTCCTAGACAAGAATTCTGATGACTGTGAATTGAGATCTTTTAAAACCACCCAATGAAAAAGGAAGAATCTGTGTTCTATTTTCTTACCTTATTGCATACTCAAATGTTTGCAGAATAATCTGCCTCTGAGCCAAATATTTTGTTGGAATATCTCCCATATTTAAATTATAGATATGATATTAAACAATAATAATACTGGGAAATGAGAACATCCAGCTGTTTTCTAAATCGATTCATCGGTGTTTTTTCTGTAATTCTGAATGCAGCTAATGCTTCAAGCGACAAAGCTACAGCATAAAGGCCCTGAAGTAACAGGTAGTTCAAAACTGCCACCATCAAGAGACTAGAACCCAGCAGAGCAATAAGGTTTAGGGTCAGACCTGGTCCAATGTTAGCGCTACCCATCACCATCTGTCGCATTCAATCTCTCTGAATTTTCTTCTACTCCAAAAAGTCTCCTTTCTGGGTTGTTCTGAGAATTTAAATCTATGACCTACAGGAAGCACCAGCAGCATATTGGACACCTGACAACTCAGTGTTTGCTTATTCTTCTTCCTACTAGATGACACCCCAAGTCCCGGGGCTTCAGATGCCATACAAATATTAGACATTCACAGCTCTGTCCCTTTAAGAAGGAGGAGGAAATGGCTTTGTTCCAACTCCTTCAAAGGCCATTGTTAAACAGCCCTTTACCTACTCACTGGCCTTTCAGAAGGAAAATCTCAAGCTTTAGCAGCAAAGGAATGTTTAATTTTGGACTACAATGAGTGTCATGGTGCCACTGTTTCAGTCCTAGTGGGGATTTCAATTTGGACTTGAAAACAGAAAAGAGCCAATCCCATGAAAACAGTATGTACATGGAAGAGGAGCAACAGAAGCGGATGAGTCAAAACACAGTAAGAGATTTAAAAAAAGTCCATTAAGGGCCGGTTCAGGGAAGATGGCCTGGACTTGCACATCAGTCTCACCCTATGTCCTCAATTTGCTGTAGACAATTTTGCTTCAATTAATGTAGACTAAAATGTAAAGCTACGGTTCTTGCTTCAAATTAGGAGCTCAGTCATTCTCCACAAAGCATTTTAAAGATTAGAGAAATGACGGAAATGTCTGAATGGAGTAGAACCCAGGAAGAACAAAACCACAGCCACAGCCAGGCCACCTTCACCTCCCCTGCCATTCCCAGGCAGATGTCACCCCATGATGCTCACTCCCACTGACCCAGGCTGTGGTCTCAGAATTGCAGCCAAGGCAGTGGGGCCCAGCACGCACACAGGCAGGCAGCCCTGCTTGCAAGCCTCCTGTCTGTCTGGGTGCACTGGGCAGCGTGTTGGCCACAGACGGAGTTCCTTCCCCAAGACAAAAAGAAACAAGCTGTGTGCAATGAGGCCAATATGGTTGGCTACTGGTTGGCCCCAAAGAACTTGCTTCTCTATTCCTACTCATTTGGTTTGGACCTTTGACCATAACTCCTCGCATTTCACTGGCTTTGTTCCTGCTATTCTGAATGCCAGGCCACCCCATGTGGCACCCAGCTGTTTCCTCCCTGGCACCCACGTAATTGCAGCCCTCACCTCAGGCCCACTTGGTGCTGATCCTGTGCACTGAACACTGGTGTCTAGCATTTCCCCCCATGATCGATGCTATGACCCCTCCTGGGCAAGATGTGCTGTGACCTTGGCAGGCAACTGTTCTTGGTTGTCTGCTGAACCTAATTCTGGGAAGCTGCTTGGTGGGGTCCAGCCTTGTCTGCCCTGCCCTTGCCCGGCCTTGGCACCAGGAGGGTGTTCCCAACACACTTCTTTCCTCAAGAGACAGCCTGTACCTGAGTCAGCCTACGCCAACAGGGCGGTCTCCTCTTCCTTTTCTGGACTTGTGGTTCACTCGTGATTCCTCAACCTACCACAGTTGCCTTGGCAACCACACACCCTGGGGCCTGCTGGGAAAATTCCACACTCAGATTTGGCACCTGTTCCTGCTAGCAGACAGGCCTGAGCTGCTGGGAGAGCACAGACATGATGAATTAGATACTGAGATGATTGGGGCAACTGTGGAGTCCCTTTACATGGGAGTGACCTGCAGAGCAGAGTGGCCTGCAGCGCAGAGTGGCCTGCGGAGCAGGGCTGCTTTTCTTTCTTCTCTTAGCCATAAATCCCTGTGCCCCAGGATGGCCTCGGCTTGGCAGACTGACACTCAGATGATTTCTGGTGGTGTACGTGCCGACCACAGGGAGGGCGTGAGCACTGCCAATCCGGCCCCCACAGAGAGTCCCTTCTCTGGGGATGAGCAGTGCTGTTCCAAACCCCAGGCGCTGGGCTGTGTCCACTTCTACCCCATGCGTGCAGCTATGGCGAACAGTGGTCAGCCACATCAGAAGAGGGGAGAGATCTGTGTGTGTGCAGGAAATGCTCACTCCTGCTGGGAAATCTGTGAGTGAAGAGAAAACTGGCTATTGGCGAGCAGAGGCTCCAGATAACCATGCTCCCAAACCTTGCTCCCTCCCACACTTGATATCACCAGCATTGGGTGGTGAGTGAGCTTCCATCTCAGTCAAATCTTGGGAGAGGACGCAGGGACAGATCTGCAATTTCCCCTTTATTCTTTTCATTCCAAATGGCTGCTTCCAAAGGGAGGAAAGAAGAAGAGACATAAATAACACTCCATGGACTGTCTCATTTGCTCTGGAAAATCTCCTAAAAGGTTAATGTTGCGTCTCCCGCTTCTGGGCATGTGTGGGTCACATGCTGGGTGCTGGGAAGTGAGTCCAGACTCCCGCTGGGGTCGTGCCCAGCCAGGCGGAGACAGAAGGACACTGGGCAGCACAGACAGAAGCTTTGGGAAACTAGTGTTGACTTCAGGGTTATGTCCGTGACTAGAAATCACATGAGGAGAGAGCTCTCCATTCCCTTCTCTGAGAGAAGGATGGAGCAAG